TGTGTGAGGACGGTGAGATTTGGGAATTTTCTCATTTTATTAATAACAATTAGCATAAAAATTTTATATTAAAATGTCGATCATTTCTCCGATTCATTCGCGAATCAGCAATTAAAGTAAAAAATTTTGCCATTTAAGAATAATGAATTTTTTTTTCTATGTATTATTCCTAATTGGTTGAACCTCTCTCCTTGGTGTAATATTCAAGCCCAAACTTGGAGAAGATGAAATTTTCATAAAGGAATTGAAACAAATAGGCCGAATTACACCACCATCACCAACCAAGTTTTTTGCAGACTGCTGGATGACACCAGCAACCAAAAAATATCGTTTCTAGAAAAGTGTCAAGCTTTTATGACAAATTCAAAACAATTCTACCTACATACTGAAAATCTGCAAGACTAAAAAATATAATCGCTCTTGTTAAAAAATTTCAATTTCTTATTTTGATAATAATATTGTATATTAAAATAATTAGCATTCTTATCTTTTATGGATTTCAAGCGTGTAAAGGAAACTAAAGTCAACTCTCCCCAAGTGTACATCATCGGGGCTGATCCTGAGTGTGCATTTAGGAAGAGTTGACTGTATTTTGTTTGAAAGTTTTCTTTTTGGATATTATTGATTTATCAGATAATTTTTTCCTATTGTCAAGTAATATTTTCAATAAAAATTTCTTTTTGGCTTGTTTTTGCAAGGAATTGAAACATTTAATCACTGCACCCCAAGTTTTTAGTCCTCTTTGAATTTCAAATTTTTTGATTACCCTATATGTTCCAAATTCATTGCATAATATTTACATATATCATCTTAATAAAATTTAAACAACAAAAATATCAGGCTTTTGTGTTATTTTTAAATAATAAATTGTAACAACAACAATTTTGTCAAATAAAATTATATTTTTACCTCCAACATGTAAATCAAACACATAGTCAAAGCAAATATATGATTATTATGATGACAGTAAATTATAATTACAAAGATTTCAATAGGCAGTAAATCAATTTAGTTGTGTTTTACTTTTGTTTTGCATTTAGCCAATAATGTGAATGTGGCTTCATTTCACCTATTGAAACAAAGATTTACGATTAAAGTAGGACGTTTTATTATTTTTAACTAGTGTTTAGCTTCTAAACGAGAGTTTCGTAGTTATGCAAAAGTCAAAAGGTTTCGCCGTAAGTCGAAACTAGTTTTGATGTTTGACTATTTTACTTTTGATTTAGTTTTGACATAACTTTTAATTTTAGTTTTGACTTTCGCCTCTTCGAAATAGTTTGGCGACCAACACTAATTTTAAATTAAAAACCGATTCAAGATTCTGGCTAAAATGCATATCGATCTTTTCCATTTATCACAAATTACGAATTAAGAGTGATCTACATTTTAACCTATTTTAACCGTGTAACAGGTCCCAAATCCTGGTACATTATTATTATTATTATTATTAGCAAACTAATGTGCGGGTAATTTTACGTATAATTTACAAAAATAATAAAATAAATTATAAAACAGTTGATAAATTTTGTTATGTTTTATTTATAAATTTTATTAAACATATCGGTTTTTCAGAATACTAATGTTCAAAAGCTAACTCAAAATCAAATAAATCAATCGAAGGCCATTTAAATTTACCATAAATGATCATTTAAAATTCCCGAATTCACTTAATTACGAATTTGAGATTTTGTTGAGAAAAAAATTTGCTTTTGAAATTGGAGTAACTAAAATAATTCGAAGTGGCAGTGTAAGATTTATATTTAGTTACCGTAGCAATTTTATGATAATCAATATCTATATGCTGTTCAAGTGTTTGCCTTTCGGTATGAATAAAAAGATATCTTATTATTATATTAATATTTGAAAAAGTTCATTCGGGAAAAGAAAAAAAATTTATTATTTATGATCCGCACACTAAGCCACAAAATTTATGATTTCATGTGTCCAAAGTAAAAAATTTAAAATTACATTGTGCGAAATAAATTATTATGTCTCGCACATCTAAACACTGACGAGTATTATCAATAATCCTTTGGTGAATTAATCATCTAATAGAGATAAACCAATCATCAATGAGTGAATGGGAATATAAGTTAAATTATTAATTATCAATCAAATTTTTTAGACAAATTAAATAACTAAATAATGAATCCTGTTGTTGTTATTATTGTTGAAATATATATCAAGTTTTTAAATTAATATAAGCCAATAATAATATTCTTAAATGCAATATCATAAAAATGTAAGGAAATGAATCAAAGCAAATAACCACATTATCTAAAATAATTGATTTAAATGCTCATTTACTTTTCACTTTCGTCGTTACCTTTTCGATAGCAAAAGGTATGGCTAAAAATTTAGTTATTCTTTCCCTTGCCAACTCATCTTTAAGATAATCTCATAAGGTCAAGAACCGACCTGAAATTGTGTTCCACTAAAACTTTTAATGAAAGTTGCTGCATCATATCAATGTGTGCGAGTTGAGAATAATTAATTGAATTAAATCAATCAATTGATAATGATATTGGTCATAAATACTTTAATTATTATGCACATAAATAATGTATTTTGAAAATTTAGTAACACAATATTTTAAGTCCTATGTAGATAGCATACAAGGCAAGCCCTTACATTGTAAGCGACTCTTGTCATTTTTGCAATTTTACATTAGATTCTATGTATTAAATTATTATAATTATAATTATCATCTAAAATCCCTTTTTCTGATGTGAAAATTTGAATTTTTAATATTTATGTTGAAATTTATGTTCATGAGAAATTCAAATCAGCCAATCAGAATTCACCCCATATGGGAAAAAGGACTGTTCTCATTAATTCAAATTCAAATTAAAAATATTTCAGTTCTAAATAACATTTTAATTCCATTTTGAAAATGTGCAAAGGATACTATTCTATTAAAAAGATTAGATATAAAAGTTTTTCACGATAGAATGATGAAGTACATGAAGACTCATTCATTATTATTGTAGACCAAGAACAATAAAATTTAGACATGAAATGTTTTTGGATTAATGCTCGAAATGAAGCCTCTATCTATACTTTTCCATATCAATTTAATTCTTAATGTGGATTTCCAGATTAACATTGAAAAACTGTGGCTATCATGGAAATAAAAGAAACAGGCGAATTAGTTTGTTGGAAAGATGACAATTATTTTATTAAAGCAGATAAAAAGTTTCACTTCAAGATTGATGAAAATTTAATATTAAGCAGTCAAAAATTCTGAATAAGCCGGCCAATAAAAAAAAGAAATCGAAATTTTGAATTTTCATATTAATATTAATATGCACATATACAAAGATACCCAGACTTTGAAAAGCTAATAACTCCACAAAATTCTACGTACGATAATTAAGAATGTAGTGTGGCTAGGGCCTTAAATTTTAACTGTTTACTTTTTTTTTTATATATACCTTTCCTGTTTTGGGAAGTTATTAGCTTTCAAAGATCGTCAATTTTGCACCATCATTACTGCGCCTCGTTTTATTTAAAAAAATTGACCAATTAATCTTGATCAGTCTCTAATGTAATGGGAAAGACGTGACAATGTATAATGAATGATCATAATAGAAAATTCAAATTTTAGATGGGAGTTCGTATAAATCGTCAATAATGTGGATGAATGAAGTTAACACTCAAGATATATAAGATGAGAAATCAATATTTAAATCAATCATACATACAAGTTAGATAGCAGGGAGAAGATACTTTTGTTGGACTTCATTTTGAAATTTTGATAATTAAATTAAAATTTTATTATTCCTAAAAAAAAACAATAACAGATCTTGAAACTTTGTAAATCTATTATTAATAATAATTATTTATAGTAAGTGTAAGTTTATGTGATAAATCACATTCATGATTCTATATAATTTAATAAAGTGTTGAAAATATTGTTCAAACAAAAAACAGGTCTGATTCCTTCTTTTATATATATATATATATATTTATATTCATCATTTATATATATTACAGAATAAAAAGAATAAAAAAAAATACATGAAAAAATTAAATGATTCATTTACATATATAACTATAATAAATATAAGATCGAGGATATATATACATATAAAATCATCATAATAACAACACATCAACAGATTTTTTTTTTTTTTTTGAAAATACTTAGGATTTATTTTTAGAAAATATGCCAGTATATCCACCTTTCTTTTTCTCTGTAACTGGAGCATGATCGCTACCATTACCACTCTCGACAGATTTATCATATCCTTTAGGATGTGAAGGTCCAAAATGATGATTTCTATGAAATTTATATTGTATCAATGATCCAGCAATAAATAGCGCAATCAATCCACCCAACATCAAATAAACATCCCGACTTGTGGTATAAGGAGTACCATCCAAGAATGCTCTAACTGATAGGCGGAATCCTGTATTGGCAAACATATCAACACCAAGAATCATCGCATAAGCACCAATAAATGATGTACCCAAAATAATTATCACATCCTCAAATATACACGCCAAAATAAGTCCCGTAATGGCAAATGCTACAATAAACACAATTCTAGCGATATCATTCTTAATCAATCCACCATCTCCAAACGCAAGTATAAAGTTTGCCAACGCCAAACCAGAAACCAATCCCAATAACCAAATAGCAACTGATGCGCAACATATTAACAGCATCCCAACTATGAATCCAATAGCCAAAGAAACTAATAAAATTATTAACGTATTAGTTGACGGTTCTGACGTGTAGCCTGACGGTGGCTCTGCCCTGACAAGAATAAGGAAAGCAACATATGCTAATTAATAAAAAAAAAAATATTATGATTAGTATAAATTATTTCCCAATTATAATTTTTATATCAATATTTAAAAACACTTACATCCAATAATAGATCCCAAAATAAACAAGGTGAGATTATAAAGTTTACGACCAAAGAAACAATAACAGAAACCTATAACAAGCAAAATGACGCCAACTACTATTGACTGAGCCATTGAGAGTTGTTGTACATTGTTTGATAAGTCCACAACTGGATTATCAGTTGTTATTGTAGTTGGGGATGGTGCTGTTATATCAGTTGGAGTTACATCTTGTCCATTAACGAAACCAATGAGATTAAACATTAAGAGCAATAATGAGATCATTATTGTCATTGTATTTTTTTTTGTAAATTTCTTTTTCATTATTTTTTAAAGTTGGTTTTATTTTTATTTCTGTGTGAAAAGAATTTTTTGAGAACAAATGGGAAAAAATTAAATATCATTTCAAAGGGAAAAGCCTCACTCTTATATATAATTTCAATAAAATCCAAGCCATGCTTTAATAAATAAACTAAGCCGTATATATATATATATATACAGTGCATGCATAACATCATTATCCACTTGGCTGACTTGGCGGTATCACAAAATGGAATTTTCTGTGGAAAGTCTAAATTTATCTTTTTCATTTTCTTATTTTGAAAAAGAAATCAAGAAATCGCACTTTACACTTACCGATTTCTCCTCTCCCATTCAGCTATTTTGAGATATATGAAAGAGAAAAGAGGATTATTTTCATTTCACTTTTTTTTTTTTTTTAATACCGTAACTATTTTCTATTATATTATTTATATATTACTAACCTTAAAAAGGTTTATGTGCTTAATGCGGACAATTATTGATGTCATTAATGAAAATCGGTACATATAAACATTTCATAAAAAATTTTTCTCGCTTTTTTATGATCACGAAAATTATTATGATGCTATAAAGGAGCATGTAAAAAGAAAACATGAAAGCAACAATTATTAATGTGTTAGAAATTAGAATAATTGGGAGAGCTACATGTAAATTTAACAAACTGTAGTTTTTTATGATCCGGCTAAATTTCTTTGTCTCGAGAGCTTTTGATCCTTTAATTACATTGTGTGGTGACAGAAATTGATTTGGTTCATTTAAATACAAGTTCAAACCGAAGCTTTGAATACGATTAAAATTCAAGAGTTCCAGCCAAATACATGATACCAAAAATAAAAGGGTAATAGCACAAAGAACCTAGAAACAAAACAGAAAATATAAGACAAATAACAGCTATTTTGTGCTGGTTTTGGCAATATCTTTGAATTCATCTATGACAATGGATAAATGTTATCGTAAAGATGTTCTTGAAGGTTTTGATATGGTAGGTAATAAGGCTTTAATATAATGGAAACTTCTGTTTAAATTCATGAAATGAACCATTAGCAATCTTCCGAGCCTTTACAACACCAAGTTTAGAAGCTCCAAAAAGAGAATACCATTTAACTTGAATCAATCTCCAGGCTTCAAATATTGAAAGCTACACGCCATGTAATCCTATCTTTTTACAACATCATAACACGATCCACACAATCTACTGTGAGATTGGTTCCACATAACAAAGCCTAATGTTCTAAATAAATATTATCAATATTATTTATTTATAAAACAAATAAACAATAAGAAATGTACAAAAATGTTGATCGTTTCATTGGGGATAACAATAAATAATACTGTAATAGTAATTATAAAAACAGTGATAGTAAAAACCAATAATAATCCGAGTTGTATGTAATGCTTACTTGGATTAATGATTGTAATATACTTTATCATAGTATTTTCCTTATTTATTTACCATTATGACTATTACCATATGAATTTTTAGTGAAAATACGTCGTATGTTCATGGAAAATATTCAACCGGGCTGTAAACTATACACCAAAGTCTTATCCAACTATGCAAATTGTAATGGTTCTTCCTTTAAAAAAAAAGAAATAAAGATCATTCTTAATCCATTAAAAGTAGTTTTGTATCATGTTGCAAATGAAAAAACATAGTCGAAATCTAGGGTTGCTGAGTACCAAAGTCAAAACTTGTAAAACATTTTGCAAGTTGGCCAATTGTAAGCATTTAATATTCCAAAATTTACTAATTGTGATGTTTAAAAATATTTCTTCGGCAGTACAAGAAAGGTTGATTTTCAACATTATTAAATTCTACATAACAAATAAAGATCCTAGAAAAATAAATAAATATTGTGATAGTATATAATTTGCATATTTTTTACTTAATATCGCAAGTGTCAGTTTATAATTAGTAATAATATTAGAAGTTTGTCTCGTTAAAATTTAACCATTACAGAATGAAAAAGGGCAACAAATTTCTATACACCCAAAACACCAAAGTTAGATGTAAATATATTTTTGTACTATCCCGCTCTATCCAAGCTAAAAAATGAATACCAAACTTAACCATCACAAAGTATAACGAAAACCTTTAAGCTGCTACTGGACTTTATATCCAAAAGTACCTAACAAAGAAACGGATGTCATAGTATTGAAATTGATGATCTTGTTCTTCCCCCAACACATATATGGTCAGTCATTCGACAACTACCTGCTAATTATTTTTATTATATACACGTATCTTTAAATAAATATCACGTTATCATAATTGGGGAGCTTGGACTTCCAAATCTCCCGCGCCTAAAACTTCTGTTGCTGTTTTAGGAGATTTACATGATTGCAATCGTGTTAAAGGAATGGCCTTGAATCCATGACCTTTAAAAAACTCGACAAGAACAAAATGCAACTGAATCTTTAATCAAACAAATTCCAAGATTATCAAGACCTGGATTACTTTCATGGGTAATTATCATCATCATTATCATCACCATTATTATTATCATTGGTATAGTCAATAAATCAACTTATTCATTTTTATTACTTAATAATAATCAATATTATTAGCTAGAAAATTTTCAACGCCTGTAACTCATAACGATGATGATTTAAATGCTAAAGCTGATGTTAAAATGAGTGGATATGAATTTGCTGCAAATAAAATGTTGAGCGTTAATTTCTTTAGTTTCTCTAATTAGAAAGAGTTGGCAAAATGTTAAACGTTTATATATTAAATCCTCGATGGGTAAGCGTCAACTAACGTTTATATTAACAATGTGAATGTCACTATACAGTACATTGATCCGCTCTCTTACCAAAACCATCATTTTTAGTTTTATTATTAAAAGTAGTTATTATCGTTGTATTAGCATGTATTCTTGTATGGTATTTATTGGGAGCTAGAACGTTTACTCTAAATTTTTGTTTATATAGTGCAAGTCACTCACTCAGCCCATTGTTTTTTGGAAATTTTCAAATTTTCGTTCATTTTTAATTGTGCGACTTTCCTATATGGTGAAGAGAAAGGTTTTTGTTTTTTTTCCATTTTTGGAGAAATTAAAGGATCCACATAGCCAATAAAAAGTTCAGCGACTATCTTCTACATAGTAATAAAATAATAGAGTGAAGGTTATAATCACATGCTTCGGGATTTGTATAAATAAGATTAGCAATATTATTTTGATATTAAAAAATAAATGTTTTTGATAAATCTTTACAAATATCATCTTACACGCAGACCAATTTTAACACAATCCATAACCGCAGGTGAGAGAATCCACGATGATGATATAACGACAATTATTATAATTATGGATAAACAAACAAATTAATGAAAATTTATAAATTTGGGTGAAATAGGATTTTTATGTGGCTTGGGAGATACAATAGCTCAACATGTTGTTGAAAAACGAGGAATTAAAAATCATGATTCCTATAGAACAATTAGAATCGGAGGATTTGGTATTTTGATAGCTGTATTTATTATTATTATTATTATTATTTCATGTATTCAGTAACAAACAATATACAAAAGTATTATTAATAATGACTATTTAGGGACCTGTACCAGCTGTTTGGTATCGTATACTAGATCGATATGTTAAATTTGAAAATCCAATAACTGGTTGAATTTTTATTAAAATTTCCTTCCCTAATTTTTTTTATAACTGATAATTTTTGTGGATGTGTAGGATTGTTGGCACGTGTAGCACTTGATCAAATGGTCTTTGCACCAACTTTTATAGCTGGTTTTTTCCTAATTCAAGGAATCTTGGAGGGTAAAACTAAACTTCAATTAACTAGAAAACTTGAAAAAGTAAGGTCTAAAATGAAGATTTTTTAAATTATTTAAATTATTTGCATTTATAAAAAATTCTTGTTAATTTTGTTGATTTTGTTTATATATGTAATTATGTATATACATAGGCATATTTACCAGCATTATTAAATAGTTATAAAATTTGGCCAATCGTACAATTAATTAATTTTCGTTTTGTACCATTGGATCATAGATTGTTGGTGGTTAACACTGTAGCGCTTGGATGGAATACTTACTTATCTGTTACCAATAATAAAGTTCAATGAATTAATGAAAAAACAATCTCTAATTACTCTCAATTTGTTTGTAAGTGAATATTTTTTAATTATTGTTATCATTGCTATTATTATTATTATCTAATGTAATATTTCCACATGCATAAAAAAATAGGATTTAATTTTTTATTTATGTAAAATATATCAATGAAATATATATATACCTTTTCTAAAATATAAAACTATAAATTATAAAAATAAATCACTGCATGATGGTGACTGTTAAAATTTCTTCTTGGCTTAAAGAGATTGATTATATTGATGATTAATAGTCATTATTATTTTCACCACTAATTCGAACTAGATTAACATCCTCCTTTCCTTATTATTATTATTATTAATCCATCATCATCATTCATGAAAATTGTTTCTTCTGTGCATTTTCTATTTCTATCATTTGCCTTACTTTCATCTTTAGGTTTTCACTGCCGTTGATTATCATGGAATTTGTATGGTGAACATTACTAACATTTATTATTGGTAATATTAATTGATTGAGTAGTATTGTTGACAGTAGCAATGATATTAGTATTTTCGGCAGGAGTAGTAATAATGGTGATTGATATTGGTATTGGTTGTAAATGTGTATTGTGGTAGCTTGATCTTCTTGGTAGGATAGAATACAGTAATCGGTTGTTCCTTTGGATGTGGTATTGATAGTGGTGTAATCTTGACATTATGATTATCATCGTCACCAGTGATTCTTTTGAGGAGTTAAATTCCTTTAGTAGTTTGGGTGTATGATTCTGGCTGTCATTTCAATTTTTTGATTTGAATCTTCTTTGATACTAAATTTAAATGGTACAGGTTCCGGAGATTCTTGAGGTTTAAGAGATAAAACTGATCACGTTACAATTGTGATGAAACCCTTGGTAATACCAATGTTCACTTTGTTTTGTTGCAGCATGCCCATTTATATTTAATTCAACATGGGATATGCTTTTTTCCCCTCAAATTTTTGTTTTCAATCTAGTTTTTGATGCATTGAATATATTTTATCGTTCTTGAAAATATGACTTCATTAACATAAATAAAAGATTGAATACTCGTTGTGTCCACTATTTCTTGCCAAAATTCATGAAATCGTTTCCATATTTTATTAGTCGTACAGCAAAGGTTTAATGGTGATAAATTTTGTGATCTGTGAAAACCTGTACTTTTTCCCATAGCCACAAATTATTTTAGGAATGATAGAGTTTCACAAGTGTTTAATTAATTATTAATTAACACAAAGAAGAAATTGTTATTTGCCGTGTCATGTCTTTATTAGTTGTTAAATAGAATGAAAAAAAATTATTCAGCTTCACAACTCTCATCACTTGCCTCTATTTCATTTTCAATATTGTCATTTTCTGCTACTTCCATTTGCCAGTTTTATTTATATAAATATTGTTTTATAAATTTGTAATCTATGAAAACCTGTTTACTTTTTTTCCACGGCCACGCACAAATTAATTTTAAATTTAAACACGATAAGATTTCATATGTACTCCAGATGTCCAATTATTAATTTTGTGTTTGTGTACACTCATCAAAAATCCGAGAAAAACAAGCTAACGTCGGTAGACCTGTAATAATAATACGATTGGCTAAGTGATTGAGTCATAATATTGTGACACCCAAATATCGATGAAAATTTATTAATATTAATCAGCCAAACACAAAAATTCCCGCTGACGAATCGATGGTATCACGTTACATGTCAAATTTGTGGTTTATTTGTTAATGACATCTAAAATAGATCACAATAAACTTTCAACCTGAATATTTTTTCAATAATATGACTGAAAATAATCACCAAAAGCAAGAGCAAGAAGTGATCTGTAAATTGATTAAAAAAAATTTCATGTTTTAATATACCATATACACTGTGTATGTAATAATAATGTATACACTGTTATTTTACCTAAAATTCCATTATGTTTTACTCCGCATTGCTTGTTTATGCCCATTTACATTTCTTTCTTTTCTGGGCACATTTCTTTCATCAACAAATTCATCATATAACATTAACATTCGTTCTCTTTCTACTTGTACTGTTTTTATGAGATTTTTAAATCCTCCAAACTTTTCACATGCTCGGGAAGATTCTGTTTGACAAATTTGACATCAAATATTTCGAGTGCCATTAACGAAAAATGCTTTGATTTGGAAAAATTGGCTTCGTCATAGGTTCTCTTTGGTGAAATCAACTGAGGGTGCAGCTTGAAGTCGCTTCTGTAATTCTGGATTCCTGCTAACATAAACTAAAAACCTGGTTACAGATTCTGCATGTCTAATCTTTCTAGTTGCTGGAAACATGGAGCAAAAGCTTCCAAGATTTTTAATTGAAACTCCAGGTTTGCCATCCTAATTCCCATTTTATGTGATTTCAATAATCCTGCCCATTGTAATAATATTACCACACTTTAAGAACATTATTGTTGCCTGCAAGTATGCCATCAGCGCACATATCCAAATATACCATATCCAGAAAAGCCAGGAATTAAGGATTGCACATATTTATTTGTACGCCAAGCTCTCAATATACAATTCAAGGTTTGGTGAATGTTGGAATAATTGTTTAATCTCTGGTAGATTACTTGGTCACAAGCTACATCCAAGATGCCAGATATAACAAAATCATTTAGATACATATCACAAGATTCATGTACATTATCATTAAAGTTAGCTCTTGGACCTCCCTGAAGGATCACAAAGATTTGATGTTGGCAAGTTTGATATATTTTCGAATTGATTCATTAATTCTCTCTATTCCAAAATCTCTATTATTTTCTTCGTATAAACCAGAAAAAATATCATCATATTTTCCAATCCATTCATTAGAAAATCGATCATCAGAAAAGATTGGTTCTGGTGATACTTCCTCGCCACTATCATCAATAGGTGTTTCAACAGGATGTTTATTTTATTACTATTAATTAATTATTACAAAGTTGTATGTTTGAAAAGTTATCTATCTGAAATTCATTATTTGAAAGTCATATTTTTAACTCTAGTGAATTCAAGATTATCGTCATGACCTTCGTCATCGCCATCGTCGTCGCGAGTATTATTATTATCACCAGTGCCACTATTATTACTA